TCTCCAGTTCTCTCAAGCCTAGCAAATCACCTCAGTGACATGGCCTCAGCACTGTTTCAGACCCTCACATTACTCAGAGGCATCTCAGTATCCAGTGAAGTTATTGACTTCCAAAAGGTAGAAGCAGCGACAATATTTTATGGCTCTGTCTCCACCCTCAACCAGCTCCAGCAAGGTCTTTAATGCCTATCTTCTGGGAAAAAAAGTGTTCTGCTCCTTTAATACATCACCTCTTTAAATTCATGGAGTCTGTGATCTGGGTATAGCTGTCTGTCAGCAGTGAATTGCCCAGAGATCAAAATTAACACAGTCAAAATTCATTCAGTAGGGGGAAGGAAATAGGGCACAAGGTATTTCACAGATCATTCTGCACAGAAAACTCAACCTTTTAACAGTGAGTTAAAAGTTAACTGAGGAACTCTCCTGCTCTGAATAGAGACCACAGTGGATCAGGTCATATCACCAAAAGCATTGTTTCTAACTATCTCATACACACAATCACTTCAGGAGGACTGAAGTCCCCAGAAAACATTAGTTGCTTGACTTGCTGATCCCCTTCCCAGAATATGTAAAGGTTCTTGAGATCTCTTGGACATGACTGTCTCATTTAAGTTTCCCATGACTCCTGGCTGATAAAGTGTGCAGAATCTTCACATCAGACAGGAGCAGGGGAAAGTACTTTATTTCTTTTTGCTCTACTTTCTTTCCTCATTTGCTTTTTGTCAGGTGATGTGTACCAAACCACACATTTGAACTATACAACCTCACTTAAAACCAAAAATATAATTGAATTATAGTACAATTTCTCTACAGTTCCTGTAATGTGTACTATTGTATGGACCTCTCTAATTCTTAATGCTACTCATCATGCTGATAATTTTTGTGTTTAATGTATGTATGGTTTTATTCTGAATGGTCACATGTCTTGGTGTTAGATCTACTCTTTTCTTTCTGAAAGTTAACAGAAGTCCTAAGCTAGAAAACATGTAGTGAATACACAGAACTCCAAAGACAATGATGACCCAACTGAGATGAGGGGGCAACTCTGTCACACCTCGACACAAAAACGTGCAGAACTGCAAAACAGCACCAGGCAATCTTGTTTATGTGATGCAAGAAAGAGCAAAAAGAATTGTTTATAGGAGGAGATAGAGGGCCAAGTTACTCACTCCTTACAACTCTCTTATCAGACAATTACAAGAGACATGGCATCATATTTCTGGAAACACAGGCTAAAGTCCCTCTAACTCAGACGTTTGACCGGAATATCTGACCTTTTCTGGACTTTATTCTTCTGTTAAATTATGATCATGAACTTTCCGACTGACTGAAAGTAGTGAGAACTGTGGAAAGCAAACTACTGAACATGAAAAGCATGGCAGGTTGGTTTTTTTTTTTCAAGCTCACAGAACTTTTGACGGTGTTCAGAGCTTACTCATAACTCTAAGGTCCAAACTGTCTGTCTGTTTTTAAAGTTACAAAACTACAGTACCTTTGTTTAAGCTGTGTAATACTGAATGTAGTTTTAAAGAAAAGGGCAGTAATAATAAAAAGCCTGAAAGACATTTTTTATTAGATGTAATTAAGTCAGATCCCTGTTGAAAAAATACAATTTTTTTGATCAATCCTGTGGCCCAAAAATGATAGGAATGATGCTTAAGTGAACAGGAGAAAATCCCCTTGGCAGAACGGATCCTTAGAAGGCATGTTTCCGAACATAGCTGAAGTGATCTTGGGTCAGTAACAACTATATGTCACTGCAACAAGTGTGAGAAGTAACTGCTGGCTCAGACCCATAATTTGGAAACACAAGGGTAGGTTTATAGCTCCCACAAGTCTCTCAAACAAGGCTGTGCCATGAGTGCACTTAAGCCCTAGCGGAGGACTTGCAGGTTCAACATGAACACTGGGTGCAATGCTAAAATAATTTTAAAAATTACGTACATCAGGCATTTTGCTTCTCAAATTATATTACAACTTTGTACTACAAGTACAAAAAGCACAGAGAATTTCAACATAGAAAGTAGCAACCTGTGGGCTCACAGTACACAACATATGACATATTTTTCCTCCTATATGTACCTACGATTTTGCAAAAACCTCTCTCTCTTCTAAAGCTCCACAAGATATTTAAAGAGTCATAAATTCTTCTCCTGCAGTTGTTTTTAATTTCTGTAGTGTTTTCTTGTGTCAAACTAGTGGAAATGCTTTAAATTGCATCCCCATTTCTAATGCCTCAAATGGATTTTTAAAGCATCTGAACTGTCAGAGCCAGAGTCTGACAAATGCAGATCTCTGGCTGCAGACCATGGGCTTCCCAAGAGATAATTTTCCTCTGAGAAATACAGAGTTAATGGTAAGAAATAACATGGCTCTACTGCTTCTTCCTCTTATTTCTCCAAGTCATACAAAAACAAGAGCACAATTATATCATGTTTCTGTTCTATGAGAAAAGAGGGCAAATGCAATTGTATTGGAATTATGCCAGACAAGAGAAAACCTGAACTACTAGAACTACGTGTTTCACAACAGGACTACAAAGCCAACCTCTTTTCCAGATACCATTAATCATATCTAAGAGACAAGTAGCCAGAGCAACTGACATCAATGGAAATTTTTAAGGCAGGACAGTGAATTCACATTTATACGGGGTCTCTTAAAACACATATACCTGACAAATTACTTTGTTGACAACTTCATTGTTGAGCTTTCTATACATAAGTAGTTGGGTAACAGGTATCAAATTCAGACATAAAAGGTATCTTATGACACCAAAGGATCAAAATCAGCTGTGCTGACTATATTAATGAAAATCATGTCAGATAAACTCATGAGAAGCTGTGCAACCACAGGAATAGGACGACAGACTCCTTCCATTTGTCAGTCCCTGGCTGCACAAGGGCATCATGTGACAATTACATGCCAAGAGGGGAGATGGCACTGATGCAGCAGGAAGCAATTAAGCAGGGGGTATATGATAAACTATGTGTATGTCAGTAGGAAAACAATTCCATTAAAAAAAATAAAACAAACATGCTCCTACTAAATGCTATTTCACTTGCATGCTCACCTCCAGGCATAAAAAAATTGATGCATTTTGCCCAAAGCCCTAGTGACGCTAACATCAATATTACTTTCACCCTTTTCCTCTCTATCAAGCTCCTTTGGGTCCATGGAAAGGCAGTTGGGGGATTAATCCCGACATGATTTACAGTGGTGAAATTATCTTCCTCATCCCCAATATAAAGCCTTAATCTATTTTGCAGGAAGGGTACTGCTTTAGCTCATATTTTATGGCTGGACTGAGATAGGGGGAGGTCAAATGGTTTGCCCAAAGCTGGAAGAGACCCTAGAGCTCATTTTGGATGGGAGTGTGGGAACCCGCTGACTGCCTATTATTCCCACTACCTTCTTGGTGCTTGTGACAAAGTTTTAACTACCAGCTGCTCTTTGATGAGTTCTCATGGCAAAATGGGAGGAAAATATTGATAGCTCTCTGTAACACCATCCAGGAAAGAATTGGAGAATTGAGCCCCCATGTCAGTTCTCATGGGGCAAGAGGAACAGCCCAAACCATCAGAGCTTGTAGCTTTCTGTCCTTGCTAAGTACTAAAAAAAATAAAAGAAACAAAATGTTATCGCTTGTTAATAACTAAAGCCTTTGAGACTCCTGTATCATTTACAGACATTAATTAAGCTCTACATTTTTTCTGCAGTCAAGCAAGCATAATTCATTCTGTTTTCAGAGACAGCTACTGAAATGCTCACAGCCAAGGAGCTTTTACTAATTTATCTCTGGTGGTTAAACAAAAACTTTTCCGTGTGGATGACAGAAGGCAAAGCGACCCCGCTGTCTAACCACTCCATTCAGACAATGGAGGACGGGAAGGTGTTTAGTATGTTAACGGCACGTTTCTGGACTGGGGATATTTGAACCATTTTAAGCCAGACTCAAAACCCCCCTATCCCAACACACAAGCCATCAGAAAAGCACGGAGGTAAGCAGTGGGAAGACCAGGCCCAATATTGTAGAATAGAATGTGATTTGAATCGACAGTCTGCCTGAATCTCAGGAATGAAAATACTGCAGTCTATTTCTCAGTCTTGATTAGACAGTGTATCTCATGATAGAAAAGCTCAACATTTTTCTTCCTTCTCAAAACAAAAGGAAACTGAAGGATTCTTCTTCTATTACACCTTGAGAAATCAGTGCACTGATAAAAAAAATTAAGGTTTTCTTAACTGGTGGAAGCTGAGATAAATTCATAGAAAAGCAATCTTCAGTAATGCTGACAAGAATCAAGCATCTTCATACTGTAACCAAATATAACAACACAGCTACTTTTTATTGCCATAATGCATGCAAACCACAGACCATACAGATGTCAAAAGTACAAATGCTGATGACCTAAGGCACATTTTACACCCACTGTCTAAAGATAAAATGCAGTTTCATGTGATGCTAGAAGGATAACCAAACCACTTTTTCCCATTTAAACTGCATTTCAAAACAGCTTTGCTATTTTTCTTGCAAATTAGGATGACTTCAGAATTTAAATTTCACTCCAAAAGCAACACTGTAAATCATAGGGGCACTAATGGAAAAGATACATGCGTACACATGTTGCCCGAAACAACCTCAGCTTTGGTCTGCAGACACTGTTGTAATGCGCAATAAAATCAGTCATAAGCAATAACCATTTACTGCTATAGGTAAGGCAGGGGAAACAAACACTCCTTGTTTGTTTAGTCAACAAAATGTTGGCCTAGATGTGTTCATCTCATGTTTAATTCTGAGACAATTTCCCTGATGGAAAGATCTCTGGGTTATATTATTGGATATGTTATGAGACAATTTATATTTGGCCTTTACACAGACTTGTTTAAGCAAGCAAACAGTGCTGTGAAATTTCAAAGGAAATAACAGCTATGCTGCCCACATTCTCCCCCAATACTGAATCCTGACTGGGGCTCGCTGTACAGTACAAAACCACACTTACGTCCTGAGTACTGTTTTGGATTCAGAGGAATTCTCACTTCCAACTTCTTCACAGCTTGAGGTCTCCAGGTTTCCATACCTGAAAAATGAGATGGGTGTTTAGAGGAACCTCTACTGAATGAAAACAAAATCCCAAATAGCATAATTCATATACAATTATCATAAACAACCAAAAAGTGTTTCTAGCTCAAACTACAAATATGGAATCTAACAGTTGGGCAAAATTAAGGAGCTGGAAGATTATTTCATTTAGGAGGAAAAAAAATCCTAAAGAGACAGCCAGTATCTTCCAACATAATTCTTTAATTTATATGAAGCAGCCTGCACACAGGAGGAATCAGCCAAAACAGTTCCTTTGCTTACACTTCTAAGACCCTTTCTACCCATTTTCACGCCATCCTTTCCCAGAGAAGTATTCCAGTATGCAGTAAGGCTGTTAAGAGAGCCACTTTCTCCAGTACAGCTTCTGTTTCTCTAGTATTTGTCATTCCTTCTAACTCCAAGTGTGATTTCACACAAAGTTTTCTAAGCGGTAAGTGTCCATTTGTGCCAAAACTACTGACACAGTTGTCACAAGTGGGAATGGCCCATGGCGCTTGTGAAAATGCCACTGGGAAAGAGGAAACCATGGGCATAGCTCCAACAGTGCAAAGCAAAATCTCTTACCTACACAGGCAGCGCATGTGCCTTGAAGGCAGGATTATGCACTTCATTTTCAATGGGAGTGCCCATTGTTTCAGATGTACAGCTCCATAAAGAATTTCATGGTTCCTTACAGGCAGCTTTAATGAAGACACACAATTACTCACAGTCCAGAATAAGGCAAGCTGATTTTACACATTCTGTGCTCAACTAATTGTGTCAGGCACCTGCAATTAATCTGGCTAGTTAGGAGAACAAGTGCATCTTTAAGTGTTTGTGCTACAACATCCTAGTAATGTCGGATAAAGTAAATACAGTGGGCTGTCCATTTGCATGTGAACCAGAAGGTTCATGTCAGAACTGTAACAAATTCATCCAAAATGTTTCAAATTATCAAAATAAGAGGTGGTAGTTTCATGCTCCTCTAAAGTATCAGTCTAAGGCTTCATATGTAAGAATCCCAGATCTGTACAGACATTCAACTAGCGTAACTGAATTCAAGCTCACTCTCACCAGCAGATCTGCTAGATTGTAAAGAACATGTTTTGGCACCACCATCCACCACCCTCATATTGATAGTCCACCCTACTATGGCTCACAATCTCAGAACTCCACAATACTTTAAAATAGGAACTTGAGTTTCAAGAATCTTATGACAAGGGCTTAACGTTGGACAATTCCACTGTGGATGGGGAAAGCTGAAGCAGAGAAAGATCAAGGGTTTGCATACATTCCAGTACACTGCAAAGTAAACCCAAACTAATAAAGGCAAACAAGTAGTCCCACTGATAGAAGCAGTGTAGCCACAGTCATAAAGAGGTCAGCTTGGGCTTACTTAGCCTTGAGAGTGCTGCAGTAAGACCACTTGCGTTATCTGAAACAGCTCATTTAAAACCAGATCTTGGCATCGCTGACTACATTGCAGGTAAACATAACAAAAAAAAAAATTTGCTCCATTTGTTACCACATATCTGTGGCAAAGCTGAGAACAAAATCATGACTGCTTGACCCCAGTAGCTTAGTCTGACCAATACATTGTGTCTCATTCAACCTAAGTTCCCACATCAGTGGTGAAGTATTTGGAAATCTCAGCATTTTATCTCTCCAGAAAAAAAAAGGCATAACACATGCATAAAAACTTGTAAACTTATGTTTTAAAGGGCTCAAATTCTTCTCAGTTATCCTGAAACAGTTGTGCTGGTCCTGTAAGACAGCAGAAGTATGATAGTAGGTTTTAAGGACTTCTTAAACCAGAAAGGGTCCTTAGAGGTACATACAGGATAACCCATTTTGCCGTTGTGATTTCACAGAGCTAATCCAAACATCTAAAGAAAAATATGCTTAGCTAAACTGACAATGGGGTAAGAATCCACTTCTAAACATGCTGAATAACACCTCCATCCCGCAGTGGTCACAGCGTATCACAACAGGAGTATTCACAGAGGAACCACTGCTTGGTACAAGAATGGCTGTCAATCTTGTTCTGAAATTTTTTGGTGCATCAATAGCCTCTGTGCTTTCTCCCATATTCTCCCAAGCAATTTCACACCCTGCCTGTGCTTTTTTTTATTGGGATCAGCACTACTGAAGCTGTAAAATTGAATAGATACCTCTTTCTGACTCTCCGCTATGCCCAAATTCACCACTTAATCCTACCTGGCCTCTCTCAGCTCTCAGTCATACCCTAAACACTCATTACTAGTGTTTGCAATTCAAAGTGAATGCAGTTAACTGTTTGAGATACTTCCCACTGCTTTACTGCAAGGATGGAATACATCAGAGGAACCTTAAGAACAATACTTCCAACACTTTGCTAAGCTGAAGTGTAAAGTTTAACCTATTTTTATTAGATTTAACTCTATTGGTTTCCAATAGTTGCTCTTGCAGACCTGTAGGTTGTCCTGCATTTCTGAATATTATAAGACTAGGTAACATATCATCTCACCAAGAAGATACAAAAAGAGCATAAGGGGGACATTTAGAGAACTATGCTGATGCTTTCTCAGTGCAGATTGCCCAGGACAGAATCAAGACATGCTGCTGATATAATGTACACTTCACACTATGATGGCTGCCCCTGTCCTGTTGCTAAAGGGAGAGGATTTCATTCTCCACTGCCATTTGCTAGATAAGATGACTAAAATACATCTTAGCCAATAGACAAAAGACATTTTTCCCCCTGCTGGGAGAAATATGCAAAGAAAGCTTCAGGTTTTGAATGACAATTAAATTTTTATATTAATTTTTCAAAACTTGCCATTAAGTCTTAGAGCAAAATTTATTGAGATGACTCACAGTGTCATTGTCCTAGTATTGTATGAAATATAAAATATGTATTTGCAGAACTTTAGGCATTTGCATTTAAATCCCACTAGAGACATACATGCTGATTTTTTATAATATGAATCCATAATACAGTAATAAAGAGCAGGCAACTTTCTGTACAAAACTGCAGAATTATATAACGCTTAATTATATTGCCAAATGTAAACCTCTGCCTATTTCCCAATGCAAGAGCTCTGCATGAACAACAGGTCATTAAATACGGGTTAGGAGGAGTTAATGATACATCTGATATAAAGAACAGTGTTTCTGCAGACTTCCACTGCTCTGTTCTCACCAGCTCCTGGACAAAGAGCCATTCACTACACAGCCTTGTATGAATGCTTTGCATACAAAAAGAGACATAAGAAACAAAAGGATCCTGTAGCCCACAGAACTTTTCAGCCTTGCTTGGCGTTTGGACAGTTATAGACTGCACTCAAAGGGACTGACTAAGCAAATGAGACCAGAATGTAATGGGTAGTAGTGAATATTTAAATACTGAAAAACAGAGTAGAAAATGCACCCCTGCATCTCTGTTAAGAAGGGAAGGGTAGAAGAGGGAGGAAAATACTCTTTGAATAACTCTGAAATAATAAGGAAAGGTGGTTCTCTGCAAAAGCCCCCAGAAAGCCCTAAATAAGGCTTGTAAGCATCAAAACAAGCAACTTGGAAGCACAGATACTCAGCAAGAATCATAAGGTGTTTTGAATTATACACACATAGATTCGTGGAAATGAAGTCGCTGCTTTAGCTGAGTAGACAAACCACCCAGTATACAGGAAAACAACAGATGAAAGAATAGATGCTACAGCAATAACAGTGAACCAAATGCCATATAAAGCTACTGTCCTAAAGTGCGGGGCTGTGCTACCAAAGGACCCATTCCATCAATGTCTGCTCTCTACCTCCATTTTCCTCTCCATTTACCCCCTATTGAGCCATCCTCCAGCACAAGAAATTAACTGAAAACGTAAAACTAACTTGTTATTTGCTGTCATTATCCAGCTCTGGCTCTCCCATCAAATGGTATCCATTCCCTTCTCTGTAAACTCCTTGAGATAGCAACCAGTTGCTACTTTATATGTGACTGTGCCAAGCACAGCATGGCCCCACTTTTAAGCGCTGCTGCAAGGAACATGATTACCAGGAGAAAATAAAATATGTAAGAAAGGAACTTGGCTCAGTTCTGCTTTCATCTGGACAGCTAAACATCTTTGGCTTCCATCACACTTGTGAGCGGTTAATTCCACAGCGCACCCAGTGACACTGGGGATACCAAAGGATCTCTGTGGAGGCATCATGCTGTACTCCCACACCCCAGGGGCAGGAGGAGCTGGTCTCCTTTTCCTCTCTCCAGGAACTTCCATCAAGTGTTTTCTTATCAAAATACCAACAAGATTTTTATTTATTTTTTTTTCCAAATCTCCCTACCCACTTCAACCAAACAAAGAGAAAATATCAGAACGTATAGTGTTAAAGACTTGGCAGGTTTTCAAAGCTGTCTGCTGCATTTAGGTGCCAAACTTCCATGAATACTAAAGGGATGCGGATGTCCAATTACTCTTAAATAGCTTTGAAAATACAAGTCATCCCCCTCACTTTTCAACATACCAGCTTATGCCCAAGATTTTGTTTAGTTTGACTTCTACTCTATGTTAAAAGAAAACTTTTATAGGCTGAATCCAGCCAAAAGAATGAAGAGGGCTCCAGTCTCAAATTTAATAAAAAGTAAGAGCTGAATTTGAAGTCCTGGAGGGGAAGAAAGAAAAACAAAACAAAACAAAACAAAAAACCCTACATCTTCCCCCTCCCCCCTGATTTACTCACAATCTCCAAGAAGTGTTAGAAGTTACTCAGAGAGCAAATAGCACATCTCTGATCTTACTAAAGACAGAAGTTATCAAAGGGCCCAATTTAAAGTCCATTACAATAAGCAGCATAGCACTAAAAATCCAATAAGTATCTTCTGACTGAAACACGGGGAACTGCATCAGTCTTTAAATATTCTGAATTGTACATTAACAATTTAAACCTTTTCATATGCCTCGTTTTGTATTTTCTGTCACTCCACTCACTCCACTGAATGTATCGTAGGGCAGAAACTGCTTTAGA